AATTTTCGTCCGAATCGGATGAGCGAAAACGCCGTTATACGGGGAAACGCGGATTTTACGTTTTCCGCGTTTTTAGCCGTTCCGCTCATTCGATCTCGGCCGAACCTCAAAACCACGCTAGATAATCCCTAGGTGGTCATCATACCCAAATTCGAGCCTAATCGCGCGACTACTAAGGGCCAGCTAAGCCATAATAGGTTTTCACGTCTTCCTAGCGGCCGCCGAAAGTGTCCGCGCGATCACGGCCGAACCCTCCAACCACGGCACTACTTCATGCCGTGCATCACCAATCAACTGTTGAACCAGATCCATCCAGTATTAAGACCTCCGTAAGCGAAGACGGGGAAAATTTCACCAATGTTTCCAATTTCCCCGTCTTTGGGCCGAAAGGACCGTCTTCCGAAGGTCCCACTGCTCTGGCGGTTGGATGCGATGCTCGGTAGCCTAAGCCGAGACCGCGGGTAGAGTTTTCTCAAAATGAGAGAAACCTCCAAAATCTCCGACGCCGACATCGACTATCCGGAGAGGCCAGAGGGGAACGAGATCCGACGTAGACAGCGGCGAATGGTACTTTTTATTGGAAATTTTGGCGGACGATTCACGAGCGGTCCGCCAAAAGTATGGAGATCTGAAAAAAGCGAGCGAACGTCTACTTTCGACGTTTGCAGTTCTTTAAGTGCGAGTACATGGTGCAAAGAGCGACACAGAGCGATTATTGTAACAAATCTTATTCATGGTAAATAACTTGTATATATTAATTGTGAACCTTTATTGTCTGTTAATTCTGTTCAATATATACTTTTAACATATCTTCCACGGTTTGATTGAAAAAACCCTGTCATCAAACTCAATAACTTTGGAGCTCAAGCTCACAGGCTCGCTTAACGAGGCTCCCGTTGAGGCTGCCATTCCTCGACGCGGATATTTTTAGTGCCTAGCAACCACTACTCGCTTCACGAGACATACCACCCGAGGTAGCCTAGCCTGAGGTGAGGACCCTGTTCGATAGCCCCCTGCATCGAAACAGCGGTAAATTCCAGGATCCTTTCTGAGACCTGCGATAGCGTCCGAGACTGACCACCTCCGACGAAGATCCTGTGCGATAGCCTCCTGCATCGACACAGCGATACCCCAGGCTCCTCCAGAGACTTGCTTACCGCCCGAGGTAGCCCAACCTGAGGCGAAGATCCTGTTCGATAGCCCCCTGCATCGAACAGCGATACATTCAGGCAAATCCGAGGCAACTTTCCTCGTCAAACCTCTAGGCGGTCACTCGTCGAGGTAACCTTCCTCGTCAAACCCCTACGAGGCATTTTCTTTGTGACCTACGGGCACAAAGTTATAGTACGCACGTTATTGTGGCGGCGTACTTCTAAATTTAGCAGAAGTTGTCCTTGCTTCTTAGGGCTCCCTCGAGAGACCCACATTTAAAAGTAGAGTCAATGGTTCTACCAGACGTCTACATGACTTTCGGAGCAAAAGAGCTTGCTCCGACATTGTCGTACGGGGAAGATGAATCCCTGCGACGCGACTTCGATATCCAGTGCTACGAGAATTGGTGCCCTCGAAGGTACAACAAACAAATTAGATCGTGAAAATATGATCAAGACTGAGCTGGACGAGACCTCGTTCCCCCCGAACGCTATCTCGGTGCTCCGTAGAGAGTCGAAGGATCTGAAGGTGATAGCTCGTAGTAGTACGCGGCGCGGCGACGCCACAGTGCCGTACAGGCTGAGGTCCGCGACTACCCGAGTTACCTATACCACCTCGAGTATTCCTCAAGATGTGCCCACGGAGACGAGTAGCATGTCAGAGTTACCACGAAGTGGGTCACAAACAAATATTCGGGACGAGGTTATACCTACGTACCAACTGGTAGGGTCCGGGGAATCCCATGAGCCCAACCACGGTTCGCGGTCCGGCCCTTATAGCGGCCTACCTCCGATATCAGGTGTTCCGGAACGTGGAACCGTTGGCGACGGCGATACAGTGCATTCAGCTTTTCTACGAAATGGTACCCAGCGGGAGCAATGCGCATCTCGTTCGGGTGCCATAACAAGCGAAAACCCCTTAGCCGACTATGTCGTAGGTGACGTAGCCGGCTCTTTCCATCTAAGCAATTCTGGTACATCGCCCGTCCACTCTCAAGTCTAACTCGACACGGCGCTCGTCGTGGCGCTCGACATTCTTCGCCGAGATCTCCCCCACGAGCTCATGTCCTAGACACCAGGTCTGTAGGTCATATCCACCACAGACCACAATCATTTGAGAATTTACTGCGACCTGACTTCCCTAGTGACGATCCACTTGACTCCGTGCGTCTCTATCGCGGACCCAGGTCAAAGGAACCAACATCCCAGATCATAAGTCATGACATGGCGCTCAACGTGGGGCTCGATTAGAACTTCCGATGTCTCCACCGACCCATGTCGATGTTACTAATAATTTAGGTCATATTCCGTGACGTGGCGCTCGACGTGGGACTCGAAGTCCTGCTTCAACGTCTTCGCGGCGAGACCACGTTGCCGAACCTTTCAATAATTCTCAAATATTAGGCACTTCCGATTATATTCCACGACAAATTATTTTCACATACTTGTAAATAAAAGTAAACAATTGTATATGTAGGACTAAGCAAGCATATGTTATAAGAAAATTTACATGTGGAGTTATAACGAGCGTTCAAATAAAAACGTGGTCAAGTTGGTTCTGAAAATTTGGACGTAGGGCGTAGCGTATAGCAAATGAACTTAAACGTCATCTGTCAAAGCGCTATATCGCCGCTATCAATTTGAATATTTTCGTTTTAAAAAGCGTTTAAAATGGTGTTTTCTCAAGAACAAAAAGTGTTTATCATAGAGTCCTACTTTAGAAATGGACGCAATGATGGAATATGGAAGTATTCTATTGAGGAATGTTTCATAGAATTTCAAAATCAATTTCCCGGTGTTGTTGAGTACAAAATTTTTCAAAGTGCAGTTCAGCGTTGTGTTAATGTTTTTCGTGAAACGGGCAGTGTAACAAGAAAAGAAGGAAGCGGCCGACCTAAAAAGCGGACTGAAGAATTAAAAGAAAATGTCCAACAAATAATGGAAAATGCGCCAAGAACTTCTGTACGTGTTTTATCACAAATGGTGGGAGTATCAGTCGGTACATGCCACACAGTGTTAAAAAAAGATTTGCGTTTGTTCTCCTATCGTTTAACTTGTCAGCAAGAACTTCATGAAGTTGATTTTCCGTGACGGGCTGTATTTTGTGAATGGTTTTTAAACAACTACGGTGAACTTCATAATATCACCTTTTTTTCTGATGAAGCCTGGTTTCATTTAAGTGGTTACGTAAACTCACAGAATATGAAAATGTGGTCTTCTGAAAAAACAGATAACTTTTTTGTCGAGGGCCCTCTACACGCTCAAAAAATTGGAGTTTGGTGTGCTCGCAATCGAAGGAGGATTTATGAACCTATTTTTTTTAATGGTACTCTTACTCCGCAAAGGTATAGAGAAGAAATTATCGCTCCTTTTGTTAACCAGCTGGAAGAAAACGAAATTACAAACTTTTACTTTCAACAAGATGGCGCAAGGGCACATACGGCAGGCGAGACGATGAATATGTTGAGGGAAGTTTTCCAAAATCGACTAATAAGTCTCAATGCTGAACATGAATTTCCACCGAGGTCATGTGATATTACGCCGTGTGATTTCTTTTTGTGGCCTTACCTTAAAAACACTATTTTTGAACTGCCTATTCCTGATTTAAACCATCTGCAGGCTCGACTTATAGACAAGATTCGTGAAATTAACAATACCCCGAGCATCTTAGAAAATGTCTTTGATTCTTTGAGGAATAGGTGTGAAAAGTGCTTGGAACAAGGAGGGGGACACTTTCAGCAGCTGCTTTAATTTATTGTTATAACAAGGAGGGGGACACTTTCCGCAGCTCCTTTAATTGTTTGTTATTGTTATCACGATTATTCTTTAAAATAAAGTTATATAGTCATTAACGTTATTGAAACTGACAGCTGCTATACAGCTCGTTGAGAAATGAGGTTAAGTTGGTCGCTATAAGCTACTTCCTACGTCCAATGTGTCAGAGCCAACTTCGACCACGTTTTTATTTGAACGCTCGTTATATAAAAAAGTTGGTATTTTCGTAAATTTCATTATTTAAAACCTTGATCGTTTTGATAAGCTTCAAACTATTCAGTTATTAAATTACTTAAATTATTTGTCTTTGTGGAAAACACTATTTCAAGAATATGGCGCCCTTAATTTAATAAGGGATTTATTGAATCAATCGCCTCAAATGACTTACTATTTTTTATTCGTTTTTTTATCCAAAATGAGTTTACCTGGTAGAATTAAATGTCAGTGTTGTGCTCCAAATTGCAAAAGCATATGAATGAATGTCTATAATACGTTCTATAGAAATAACATCTTTTTTCAGAATTACAAAAGACAGACAATTACTGTGGATAGTCAGTTCGAAAATTATGTAAATCAGACTTTACTCCGACAAACACAAAGTACGAGAAATTTCGGATGATTTTTCACCTCCACCTTTTAAAAAACCAAAATGCACATATTTAAAATTGTTATTTGATATAAGTGTAGTACGTTACATCATACTGATGAGAACCAATTAGTTTGAAACAAATGTATCTAATCATAATTTTTGGCAAGTATCTAACTGTGCAATGCATTTTACATTCTTTAAATTTCTTTTAAAAATTGCAGGTTTCTTTAAAACATAACAATTACAAGCGTCTCCCTGTACTGTATTTTTTGATACTTAAATATTTTCGAATTCATACCAGAATGAATTTGTATATTTGTCACACATTTAAATATCGCTGCTTTAACTTTTTCATAAGTAATAGGTCATGGAACAGCTGTTAATGGTTCACCTTAATTTTAATTATTAACTTAAACCATTAGTAGCTGTTTTGTGATCTATTATCAAATACTTTATATTCTTAGTGTATTTTTTCTACACCCGTATTATAACAATGCACTTATATGCCCATAATCCGTTTCATAATGATACCCATTACGATACAGATTTTTCATTACGATACAGATTTTTAATCAATAGAAACCCATAATTTTTCAATCAAGCATGCTGTGCATTTGACGTTTATCCTAGGTTCCTATGTAATTATTTTAGATGTCAAAATCAGTACGTATTAAATTTTCGTAGATACCTAGCTAAACTTCGATAATTTATCAAAATGTCTGATATCAGCGATATAGAAGAATTACCATCGACTCCTCCACACATATCGGAGAAAGCAGAAAATGCAGTTCAAAATATTTTACCCCAAAAATCTAAGAAAGTGTACGAAAAACTTTATCAACGGTTTATGGACTGGAGAAATACAAATAATATTTCGACATTCTCCGAAAATGTTTTAATTGCTTATTTTCAAGAATTGATGGAAACTATGAAATCATCTAGTACATGGACACATTATTCAATAATAAAAACGTTGGTAAATATAAACCATAATATAAACATTTCTAAATATAAGAAACTACAAGCTTTATTAAAGCGAAAGTCCGAAGGATATGTTGGAAAAAAAGCAAAAATATTTTCACCTGAACAAATAAAAACGTTTATCGACGAAGCACCCGATGAACGGTTTTTATTTTTAAAAGTAAGTATCTATCTAACATTGCATTTTTAAAAAAATTTCATGATTACATTTTCCATTCGACTCATGCATGATAGGTATATTTCATTAATTTCGAGCAAACTCATAAACCGAACTCGTGGCCGAGCGGGTTAAGGCGCTCAATTTGGACTAGACTACAGTATGAGATCCGGGTTCGAAACCAGCCTAGGTCATCCTGCTTTTTTTTTTTTTTTTTTTTTTTTTTTTTTCTTCTCTTTATTTATTATTGTTGTTTTTTTTAGGTAGCAATGATTTTTGGAATAATGGGAGCATGTCGAAGGCATGAACTACATGACCTAAAATGTGAAAATGTCAAAGATATGAATGGAATCTTAATTGTTAATGTGATAGAAACTAAAACAAAAGTACAACGAACATTTACAATTACCGGCAAATACTACGAAATTAGTAAAAAATATATGAATCTACGGCCTAAAATTTGCCCCACCCCATCTTTTTTCGTTAATTATTTAAATGGAAAATGCACAATTCAAAACATTGGTATTAATAAATTTGGTGATATAGGGAAGAAAATAGCAACATATTTAAATCTGCCTGATCCGAATTTATATACAGGGCATTGTTTTCGTAGGACATCTGCAACCGTATTAGTAGATGCCGGTGGTGATATTACTACATTAAAACGCCATGGTGGCTGGAAATCCAATTCAGTGGCAGAAGGCTACATTGAAAATTCGGTTCAGAATAAAATCAGCATTTCCAATACAATATTGAACTCTATTGAGACTAGCAATAATGAAATAAATGTAAATATTCCTTCCACTTCCAGATCAGTGGGACCTGGAATAAACTTTTCAAACTGCACAATAAATAATCTTAATATTTTTAAGAAATCGGATTAATTACAATTATTATATGTTGAATATAAATACAAATAAAATGTTTATAGTTTTCTTGTATCTATGGCAATACCAATACCCGAGGTATTAATTACAATTTTGTAGATTTTTTTTTATAGAAATACGAATAATTACTGTTACCTATTGTGTTCAATAAAAATATAAAATTTATGGTTTTTGATTATTTATCGGGTGTAGAAAAAATAGCGTATGCAACTCTCATGTAATGGTTATTAATACACTCGCATAAACCATACGAAACTCGCCTTCGGCTCGTTTCGTATCCCGGTTAATGCTCGTGTATTAATAACCATCATTACATGATCGTTGCATAATATACTATTATCGACTTATTAGTACAAGGCTGAAATTTTTTTCTCAAATAGCTTACGAGATAAAAGAACAAAAAAATTAACTCTGCCAATCGTTTAATGTTGCTAAAGCTTCGGCAGAGTCATGAAAATGCATAAACTGCCAACAGCAACCGCTGCGCCAAAATGATAAGATCGTTCTAAATTATTGCATTTACCTGCATTAAATGTAGAAGTTCCTAGCTATTTTTTACAATCAATTTATTTGTTTAAAAAAATTAAGTAAACTTTGTTTTCTTTTTAAAAGCTGGTCAAGTTTATTTCTGTATGTTTCTTGCTAATTATGCAGTGCAGAAAACACCTAATATTTTTATTAATAATTTCATATTATTTTTACATATTCTCCTCATATTAATAATTTATTACTTTCTTATTACTTTATATTTGAAAAATAAAATAATGTAAGTTAAGTTCTTCTTGAAAACGTCCAGGTACAGGAATTTCATGTATTGCTGAACCTGTATCCTACTTGGGTAGGTTATTCACAGCAAATGAAAGAAAATATTTGCGTCGCCCGCCATGCTTCTTTCCTGCATGCTGCAGCTGTCTACCCCCCAAAAAATAGATAAAGTAAGATTGGGGATAAACGAGTCCGACCTGAAACGACTTATCTTGCGTGGGTGGCACAGTTTCGGTGGCAACACTTCCGACACCACAGAGTATCATTTTCCTACATTTTAAGGTATACTTTATCACTCTACAAAATTTAAGTCTTGTACTTAGAAGACATTTACACATTATTTTTTACATGTTTCGAAAATTGTTATTTTAATGAAGGAAGGCAAACTCTAAAAGCTTGGCAGGGTTGCATTTTTTTTGCCTATAATACCTAAACAACAACATAAAAACGAATGATGTAAACAGAAGTGTCACTGCCTCCCGTACTAATAGATTTTCGAATCTTTCAACAAAATTTCAGCATTGGTTGCAGTTAATATAACAGACTATAGCCATAATGATGTTGGTGATGCCAACGGCCAGAGTATCTAATACTGTGTCAGTACCTTTGCAGTGTAATAGTTGTCATATGTGTGATTCGGTGTCACGGTTGGTGGAGACTCGGTATACTTCTGGTTCAGAGGAAAAAGAAACATTCCCAGGTCAGGTCCGCCGAATACTTGCCATTAAACTCTGCGTATTATCAAACTCCAATTCTTGATGATTATCAACAAACGATATAGGCCTCTTATTGCCATAAACTAGAAAAAATAAATAAAACCTATAATTTTTACTTGTTATAGAAGTATCCTACTGAAAAATTTTCATTTTAAATTATCTCATCTTTTAATGTTTATAAAACCTTCAAAATTAACCCTAGAAAGATTGATAATTCTCTCATATCATATTGACATCATTTTTCAGCAGCTTCACGATCATTGCTGTCACATTAGAACATCCTCCTGGAGTTTCGTTCTTAATCCATGAACTAAAGGAGGAAATCTGGCAATAAATGTATTAAAATAATAATTGTAGAAGATCTACTTGGGGAGATCGTTTCCAGTATATCATACAGAATATTTTCTTTAAAAATGACTTCTTACACACTTATTAAACGTAAGAACGCTTCTTACATCTACATACAGGGTGGTCCGAATTTTATGCAGGAAACTTCTAGGGCAGATAGATTTCTTTAAAATAATATGTGTTTGACTTATAAACATATGTCTGGAACGGCACCGTTTTAGAGATACAGGGTGTTGAAGTTGTCAAAAAAAATTGATTTTTTAATTATATCTCCGGAATCTATTAACCGATCTCAATAAAATTTGGTACAGATAATGTATTATAGTAGGCCTAGTAGTCCCTAAAATATGAGCCCTAAAGGTTCAACCAGTGGTGTACAACTGGACAGGGGTCACCCCCTTTTTTTACAAAAAAACCTACGCCACTGCATTTTTTACATGTCATTGTAACTGATTTATATTTTAATACACAAAATACGTAAAAAAGGTAACTTGAGTTTTTTCCCTAAGATTCGCCGTTCTCAAGTTATTCATACCAATACAATCCCCTTGTGGCAGACACTTCTAACGATAATATTACAAGAATATTTTTTTATGTTTAACAGTAAGTGCAATTTGTAAGCACATTAACAAAATTATTTACACTCCTTTCTACACCACCTGTGAGGTAGTGTGCGATATAAACATAAAATCAATTTTTTTAAAACCTCAACACCCTGTATCTCTAAAACGGGGCCGTTCCAGACCTATGTTTATAAGGCAAACACATATTATTTTAAAGAGATCTATCTACCCTCGAAGTTTCCTGCATAAAATTCGGACCACCCTGTATATAACGAGCGTTCGAATAAAAACGTGGTCGAAGTTGGCTCTGACACATTGGACGTAGGGAGTAGCTTATAGCAACCAACTTAACCTCATTTCTCAACGAGCTGTATAGCAGCTGTCAGTTTCAATAACGTTAATGACTATATAACTTTATTTTAAAGAATAATCGTGATAACAATAACAAACAATTAAAGGAGCTGCGGAAAGTGTCCCCCTCCTTGTTATAACAATAAATTAAAGCAGCTGCTGAAAGTGTCCCCCTCCTTGTTCCAAGCACTTTTCACACCTGTTCCTCAAAGAATTAAAGACATTTTCTAAGATGCTCGGGGTATTGTTAATTTCACGAATCTTGTCTATAAGTCGAGCCTGCAGATGGTTTAAATCAGGAATAGGCAGTTCAAAAATAGTGTTTTTAAGGTAAGGCCACAAAAAGAAATCACACGGCGTAATATCACATGACCTCGGTGGAAATTCATGTTCAGCATTGAGACTTATTAGTCGATTTTGGAAAACTTCCCTCAACATATTCATCGTCTCGCCTGCCGTATGTGCCCTTGCGCCATCTTGTTGAAAGTAAAAGTTTGTAATTTCGTTTTCTTCCAGCTGGTTAACAAAAGGAGCGATAATTTCTTCTCTATACCTTTGCGCAGTAAGAGTACCATTAAAAAAAATAGGTCCATAAATCCTCCTTCGATTGAGAGCACACCAAACTCCAATTTTTTGAGCGTGTAGAGGGCCCTCGACAAAAAAGTTATCTGGTTTTTCAGAAGACCACATTCTCATATTCTGTGAGTTTACGTAACCACTTAAATGAAACCAGGCTTCATCAGAAAAAAAGGTGATATTATGAAGTTCACCGTAGTTGTTTAAAAACCATTCACAAAATACAGCCCGTCGCGGAAAATCAACTTCATGAAGTTCTTGCTGACAAGTTAAACGATAGGAGAACAAACGCAAATCTTTTTTTAACACTGTGTGGCAGGTACCGACTGATACTCCCACCATTTGTGATAAAACACGTACAGAAGTTCTTGGCGCATTTTCCATTATTTGTTGGACATTTTCTTTTAATTCTTCAGTCCGCTTTTTAGGTCGGCCGCTTCCTTCTTTTCTTGTTACACTGCCCGTTTCACGAAAAACATTAACACAACGCTGAACTGCACTTTGAAAAATTTTGTACTCAACAACGCCGGGAAATTGATTTTGAAATTCTATGAAACATTCCTCAATAGAATACTTCCATATTCCATCAATCTTGCGTCCATTTCTAAAGTAGGACTCTATGATAAACACTTTTTGTTCTTGAGAAAACACCATTTTAAACGCTTTTTAAAACGAAAATATTCAAATTGATAGCGGCGATATAGCGCTTTGACAGATGACGTTTAAGTTCATTTGCTATACGCTACGCCCTACGTCCAAATTTTCAGAACCAACTTGACCACGTTTTTATTTGAACGCTCGTTATATTTAAATTTACCGTCATTATGATGCAGCGACATTATTTATTAGATAGTAGAATTAGAGGTTACTCTAATTGTATTTTTCCATGCAGTTTCCTTAATTATTTCATGGTCTGTGATTTCCGAGTGTGTCGTTTCCTGCACCAGCTACATATGGCGTACTCTGCCGCTGCTGCCGACAGAAGACACAGAATAAAACCCTCTTATTTAGTTCTCTCATATGGCTATAGATCGCAATTTTCGTACAAAATATGTTCGGAATAGTGATTTAGCTTCATCAACTGCGAAGAGATTAATTGAGAAATTCAGGGAGACTGGATCAATTATAGACCTTAAACACACTGGCCGTTCTTCAACAAGTCGTTCAACACAAAACATTTTCGCGAAAGATTTGTATTTTCATGCTTACAAAGTTCAACTGACTCAATAACTGAAGCCTTCTGACCACGCAGAGTGAACATGGAACAACAACAGGTTGATACTGATTTTTCGAACAAATGAGAAACAAATGCATCCACAACGTGTCACTGTTTGATGGTCTTCTTTGAAAATGCAGCTGGTCAGAAAATGGTGGTTAATGGTGCTCACTATCGCGACATGATAATCCAGTTTTTTGTTTTAAATTACAAGATATGGATGTAGACGATATGTGGTTTTAACAATACGGTGCAACATGCAGACAGACCGAGAAATAATTCAATTACTGCATGAGTCATTTTCTGGTCGTGTAACTTCCCGTTTTAGTGATCAGAATTGGCCGCCCAGATCATGAGACTTAACGCCGCTGAAGTTTTTTGAAGTCTAAGGTTTATATCAAGATGCCCACGACCATCCACGGCTTGAAGGAGGAAATTGAGCGCTGTTTCTACAAAAGAGAACGTATGTGCCAGCAAAGCTGTGGAGGACATTTACCCCGTATGATATTCCATATATAAACATACCTGTACTGTATACTTTACGAATCAATAAAAAATTTACAATTTTTAATAATTAAAAACCTCTGTTTTCTATCAAAATTACTTCTTCAGTGAATTTTGGGACACTCTTTATATCACCCAGTGTATCACTCTTCGTGCATGTTTTTAACACAGAGTGAGAGTTCTACCAACTATTTTTTAAATTTTAACATGTAAGCTCCGATGCTAGACTGCCACTATGCAACTGAAAATTGCGAATAAGATCTGGTCAAAGTGGACGTATCGATATTAGGGATAAGACTTTAATCTACACTAAAGTAAGCCATTACCAAACAAAACATCAGCTAGTATTTTTCCTTTTCTTTGCATACAAAATAAAAGTACAGACAAATTAAATAATACTAGATCTATTTCAATAGAGCCTGTAGCTGTGATCTCTAAATAATTTTTATTTTTATTATTATGCCAATATCAATACAGAGTTTAGAATTTTATTTTCTGCAGGAATTTTCAGCATTAAAAAAATATTTGTGTAGTTACTGTGTAGCCTAAATACAGCGACTTATAAACGAGAATATATTTTGCAGTTGTTAAGTCGGGTTT